CCCCGCTGCGGCGTGGGGAGCGACGAAGCAGGGAATAGAGATTCTCTATCGTGCGTCAGTCTGGCTACGCTCGGGATACCCGATGAGATCCGATTTCAACTGCGCCATTGGAGTGTTCATCTCGAAATCGCAGGCCCCGTCTGATGGTTCCCCCCACTCGTGTCCTCCGAGTGCGACCCGCCCTCTCTCTCTGAAATCAACGGGGCCAAAAGCGATTTCGAGTGCATTCAATTTTAGTTTTGCCCGTGGTATCAAGCAGTCCGTTTCGGCCTCTCAGAGAGGCCTTGTCCGCGGGAGAAACTTTTTGTCAAACCTGGTTGAGCTCGATGCCTGGGCCCGCATCGCGAGCATGCGAGCGACCGACCCCGAGGGGTGCCCCCCCGAGTCCTCGTCGCCCATGCTTCTCGCCTTCGATTATGGCCAGGCTTTTCCTTCCCTGGATCATTCCTGGATGTGGAGGACTCTCGAGGCCTGGAGGGCTCCTGTGGGTTTTCTCGAGGCGCTGCAGGGAACTTATGTGAATGCTACCACTTTCAGTACTTGCTCTGCTCGGGTCCCTCTGTGTAATGTGCGTGGGGGAGCGATGCAAGGCGACCCTCCCTCTGGCAGCATGTTTGCCCTTGGAGTCGACCCCTTTGTGCGTGATCTAGACTCGGCCCTCTCGGGTGGCGAGAGCATGGGCAAGGGGCTCGCCAGATGGTGTGCTGATGACTGTGGTGCTGTGACGTGGGGAGCCCCTGGCCGCAAAGCTCTGCGCCGCGTCTTCTCTGTCTCGGGCAAGATCGCAAATCTGCATCTTCGCCCCAGCAAATGCTTTTGCGTTCCTCTCTGGGCACCGTTCTCGCCAGCCATCAAGAATCATGCCCAGATGCTCCTGCAGGAAACCTCTCACGAGTGGCAGCAATTTAAGGTTGTGTCGGAATTAGACTACCTGGGATGCGTTCTCGGCCCTTCCGCCACGATGCACGCGCAGTGGGCGCCAGTTGTGCAGAAGTACAGAGACCGCACACGAGCGATTGCGAGCACGGGTGCTGATGCGGCGGCGTGTGGCGTCATGTACAGAGAGAGGGCTGTGAGCGTCCTTCAGTACAAGTCACAACTCTTCGAACTTCCGAAAGATGAGGTGGCGGATGAGCGACATCACCTCACTCGGCTCTTCCGTGCGCCTGGCTCGTGGCTCCCTCTTCGCTGCTTCTTCGACCTCCACTCCTTCGGCGGACCCCGCTCCCCCCGCTCCGTGCCGTCGCCCTCGCCGCCCGCATGCGAACCGCCCTCGAGACGACAACGGTCTGGAGATCGCTCTGTCCGAGGCTTCAAGCTGAGGCGGAGGAACACCTCCCGCTGGTGCAATGGGTGGGGCGAGGGCACGGGCACACTCCGTGGCCGAGCTTCTGGATAGAGCCCCCGCTGGCCTGGAACCTCCGCAGCGCGGCGGAGGCTGCGGACGAGCTCGGCCCCCTCGCCGCCCCTGCCCGCGCGGGCCTCGCCATCCTGCGAGATCGCCTGTCGGCACAGCAGGAGGCCTTGGCGGCTGGCAGGCCTACAATGCCAGTCAAGACTCAGAGGTGCCTCCAGGAGGGCATCGTCCCCATCCTGCACCCCTCTGCCTCTTCGCTCACCCCTCCCATTGCCCAGCGTCTCCAGCGATGGTTCCAGGTCGGGGGGGACGTCTGTCGTGGGGTGGACTGGGACGGGCTGGTGGGTCTTCTGCGTCGTTCCCCCCCGTCCTGGAGAATGGCTGCCATCAAGACGTGGGCAGGGGGGTGGGTCACGGACACCCGCATGCGCAACCCCGACTTGTCATGTCTTATGGGGTGCGAGTGCCCTGACTCCCTCGCCCACTATGAGCGTTGCCCTGGATTTCGTTTCCCCGTCCGTTCCGTGTCGGGGTCCGAGGTGGACCCGTCCCTCCCCCGACGATTGATCATCCTTGATCCCTCTCTTTTGCGACTCCGACAGCTCGTGATTCTCTTTCACCTCCACCGCCTCCTTCACCAAGCAAGGAGGAGTAGAGGGAACTGGTGTCCGTCCGCCGATCAGGCGAGAGACTTTGCCAAAGCGGCACAGAAGGCGACTGACACCCCCATGGGAGGGTGGCGCTCGATCGCCAGAAGCTTGAGGGTGACGCAGGTGTAGGCGTGGCTGACGAACTCATTCCGACGCTGGGCCTCCTCCTCCTCCTCCTCCTCCTCCTCCTCCTCCTCCTCCTCCTCCTCCTCCTCCTCCTCCTCCTCCTCCTCCTCCTCCCCTCGGGGCTCAAGAGACGGGGGTCAATGCAAACGGGGGTCAGCCAGGGCGCCAGATCTTGCAGGATCCTGCAGGGCCAGGGGCGCACTGGCCCGGGTTTGGGTGCAGGGTCCCGCAGGATCTTGCAGGATCCTTCGCGCCGGCCCGGGTTCGGGTGCAGGATCTTGCAGGACCTTGCAAGGCCTGACTGGCCCGGGTCTGGATTGACCCGGCTCAGAAGATCCCCGATACGTCTAGGAGATGAAAGCGCACGGCAGCGCTTTTTGGTGCAAGGTTTCAGTCGGGCCTGTCCCTCTACAGCAGGGAGATTCGGGGCCTATTTTTAAAAAGTATTTTGTGACCATTCTGGAGTATTTTTTTGAGTTTTGTTTTTCTCCGTTTTTCGTCGAAGTTCCCCCTGTAGGGGGACACGCCCGACTTAGCGCAAGGTTTCCAGAGGAGGCCGCGACGACGATGACGACGACGACGACGACGACGACGACGACGACGATGACGAGGTCTCCGGACGAGGCCACACGTGCCGCGCCCCGTGCGAGCCGCGCAGGCTGCACCGCCGGGTCTGCAGAGCGCATGGTCTGCCGCCGGGGGCCCGTGTGGCCCTTCCCTCCCACGGCGGGTGCAGCGCGCCGCCGCAATGCAACAGCCGGGGTGTGTCCCGCGGGCCTCGTTTGCCTTCTTGGCTGCGGCACGGCCGAGGGCCTCGGAGCGTGAGTTTACCTGCCCCGCTCTCGCTGCCAGGCAAAACCAAGTCATGCCACGCGCCTCCTCGTCAAGCGGCCTGACCAGTACAGGCCGAAGTTTGGCATCGCTTGCTGTCTCTTGGAAGCGAGGGTGGTCAAAAGCGAGGTAGGTTTGGTTTCCCCCTAGGGAAGGGGGCAGTCGTCTTCGTGCTCGGGTTCTTCGCGCTTGGGTTCTCCACGGTGGAATGCTCTTCAGCTCCGGTGCCGCGATGGGTCTCTGGGTCTTCGGCGGAGGGAATCGTGCTCTCGTGCCGCGTCTACGTGACCATGTTCCGACTCTGCCAGACAAGCTAGCCTTCCTCAGAGCGTCCAGCAACTCCGCGTGGGGAGCCAGCGGTCAGCCTCCCGTCCGACCAGGGAGCGAGCGGGAGTCAGGGCCCCGGCCAGCCCTTGCCGATGCGAGCGATGGGGGAGGGAGAGCAGGGGAACAAAAAGTGACATAAACATAAAAACTCGGAGGTCCGCGCGGATTTCTCGGATCGGCGCTGGACCCCCCCTCCCTGGCGCGCGGAGCGCGCCAGGGGCGGCGCCGGAGGCGCGGCCAGGGGGCTTCGGCGCGGGTCCGAGAAATCCGCGCAGACCTTCGAGTTTTTATGTTTATGTCATTTCTTGTTTCCCTAAGCAAGGCGACCCGGGAGCTCGACCCTGGCGCACCAGACGAGCAAGCGGTCCGACACGCCCCCGGGGCACCACGAGGGGTGCGCTTCGAGGGGGGCCTGCCTTCCTCTGGGCGTGCGGCGGAGGGCACCGGGCCCTCGAGCCGCGCCCTCGTGGCCAGCTCTCGGCTGCATGAGACAAGCAAGCACTGCGTCGGGCGCGTCCTTCTGCAGGAGGGATGTTCACAAGAATAGCCCACAAAATAGTCTGGAGACGACGTCTGGACCAGTTTTTTGATGATTCCAGGCTGTACTTTTCGAGGCATTGTCCATTGTCGCCCAACACCCCCTGGTACAGTGCCGTTTTTTTATACATGCTCTGCGTGCGGATCATGTATTACAAATGCAAGGATTTAGTACTAAAATCAACGATGAGTTCATGCATACATTGATTCATACATTAATCATGCATGAAACATGCTATATTTTCAAAAAGCATATGTATTGAAAACTGCCCTGTAGGAGGACGTGCCCGACCTGGGACAGGCAGGCACTCCGACGGACCTCGCCCCCCCCGGGCGTGCTCCCGCCCGGTGGCCGCGCGAGCACGCGCGGGGCGACGGGCCGAGGCGAGGGATCGTACAGCTCGGGCCTCCCAGGCGGCCGCCACTCGTGGCGATGGAGTTCTCCCCCGTCCCCCTCCTCCTCCTCCTCCTCCTCCTCCTCCTCCTCCTCCTCCTCCTCCTCCTCCTCGTCCCCCTCCTCCTCGTCCCCCTCCTCCTCCTCCTCCTCCTCCTCCTCCTCCTCCTCCTCCTCCTCGTCCCCCCCCCCCTCCTCCTCCTTCTTCCTCCTTTTCCTCCTCCTCCTCCTCTCCTTTTCCTCCTCCTCCTCCTCTCCTCCTCCTCCTCCTCCTCCCCTCCGCCCAGTCGGCACGAGCGAAACGGGTACGGAAAGAATGGGTACAATGCCCAACAGCGGTCCCTGTTCATTTTGAACGGGACTCGCTGTCGGTGTCGCCGCGGCCCGTGTACATTTGAGACAGACGGCCGCCTGCCCAACAGCGGCCGCTGCTGGCTTGAGACAACATCTGTTGTTGGGCATTGTGCCCATTTTTTCCGTACCCATTTCGGGCGTCCAAAGCCCAGGAACGCTCTCGGCGAGGCGCAGCTGTTGGACGGTGTCCCGAGGCAGGAAGGGTTTCCATCGGTTGTTCCAAGGGGGGGGGGTCCTGAGAGGGGGGGCCCAAGGAGGGAGGTGTGCATTGAGCAATGCGAATCCACCCCTGGATCCCTTCCCATCCTCAGGACCCCATCCCTCGGGACCCCACCTTTGAAGCATCGATTCGAGCAACCGACGAAAACGTTCGAAGATGTCCGACAGTTTCCGTGCGGCGGCATGGGCTGGCGCCCTCCCAGAGGAGGAGCAGATCCGCGTGCTCTGCGCCGCGGACACGCTGGACTGCCCGAACACCGCCCGCGGCATCGGGTTCGCCGTGCAGCTCTCGCCCTTCGACCTGCCCCCTGAGGACTCGAAGAAGAAACAACGGCGTAAACATACATATGTGAAGCTCCGCGCAGATTTCTCGGAGCGCCGATCCAAGAAGTCCGCTCGGAGCTCTGGAGACGTATGTCCAGGCAGTCCTCCCTTCCTCCAAGGATGAGACCTTCCTGTCCGGGGCGGCCGACCTCTACATCGACCTGGTCGGCGGAGATCCCGACAACCGGGAGGCCTCCCGCGACCATGCCCCTCCGCCACATCGTCACTAAGATCCTCCTCCTCCTCCTCGTCGTTGTCGTCGCCGTCGCCGTCGTCGTCGTCGTCGTCGTCGTCGTCGCCGTCGTCGTCGTCGTCGTCGTCGTCGTCGTCGACGTGCCCACCGGCAGCGGCAGCAGTCTGCCCCCGCGCCGTGGGGGCGGATCCAAGCGGGGCGGGCCTTCAGGCCTCGGCCCCGAGGGCCAGGCGTGCGTGCCCCGAGGCCCCTCACCTGTCCTCTGGAGGAGGGGGAGGAGGAGGGGGAGGAGGGGGAGGAGGAGGAGGAGGAGGAGGAGGAGGAGGAGGAGGGGGGAGGGGAGGGGGAGGGGAGGAGGATGAGGAGGAGGAGGAGGAGAGTGAGGAGGAGGAGGAGGAGGAGGAGGAGGAGGAGGAGGAGGAGGAGGAGATGAGGAGGAGGAGGGGAGGAGGAGGAGGAGGGGAGGAGGGAGGAGGAGATGACGAGAGGAGGCGGAGGAGCGGAGAGGAGGAGGAGGAGGAGGATGAGGAGGAGGAGAGGAGGAGGACAGGAGAGGAGCGGCGAGCGGAGGCGGAGCGGAGGCGGAGGCGAGGAGGAGGAGGAGAGAGGGATGAGGAGGAGGAGGAGAGGGGAGGAGGAGATGAGGAGGAGGAGGAGGCGGAGGAAGGAGGAGGAGGAGGCGGAGGCGGAGGCGGAGGAGGAGGAGTCGTAGAAGGAGAGGAGGAGAGTAGGAGGAAGATGAGGAGGAGGAGAGGAGGAGGAGGGAGGAGAATGGAGGAGGCGGAGGCGGAGGCGGAGGCGAGGCGAGGCGGAGGCGGAGGAGGAAGGAAGAGGATGAGGAGGAGGAGGAGGAGAGGAGGAGGAGGAGGATGAGGAAGGAGGAGGAGGAGGAGGAGAGGAGGCAGGAGAGGAGAGGAGGAGGAGGAGGCGGAGGAGGCGAGGAGGAGGAGGAGGAGGAGGAGGAGGAGGAGGAGGAGGAGGGGGCAAAACCACCCCGACCCCGACAATTGAGCGACGCAAAGCATGGGGGAACGAGCGAGGACATGAACACAACTCGGAGGTCCTCGCGGATTCCTCGGATCGGCGGCGGGGTCTCCTTGGCGGCGCCTCTGGCGCCGCCCCTGGCGTGCTCCGCGCGCCAGGGAGGGGGTCCAGCGCCGATCCGAGAAGTCCGCGCGGACCTCCGAGTTTTAATGTTTGGTTTTGCCATTTTTGGTCCCCCTCGCAAAATCACGGGGTCGTCTGCGCCGACATCGGCGCGTAAGCTGCCAGCGTGAGGTCGCGCGTAAGCGTCCTCGTCTCCACTGCAGCGCGCCGCGCCGCCGTCCCGCGTAAGCTGTGGCGCAAGGTCGCTGTGCTATCTCGCATGAGACCCGTTTGTGATCGACGCTCAATTGGCGTTTTCTAAACGGCCCTGGGCGTTTATTAAACATCCCTGCCCTGTTCGATCCCTTCCATGGGTGCGTTTGCTGAACGGCTTCTTCGCTGGTCGCGGTACTTATGCATAGTGGGGGTGGATCTTCTGCTCTCTGTGTCCGGCTTCCATGTGCATTTCCCCGTGCATGTTGTGCAGGTGTGTTTTCCCACTGTTTTGCGCCATCAGGGCGTGGCTTGCAGTCAGGCCGTCAGTCTGTCAGTCAGTTAGTCAGTCAGTCCGTCAGTCAGTCAGTGCGTCTGTGGCCCCCGGACGGCGGAGGGCCGGCGAGAGCCCGCGGGAGCACAGCGAGGGTGGCTTCGCTGGCGGGGGCCAGCGGCAGGCTGGGGGAAGGCGGTTCGTCTTCCGACGTTTGTCGGTGCCCTGAGGTTTCCAGAGGCTGGACTCGGGGCAGCGTGGATAGGCTCAGGGGAGGGGTTCGAAGTTCCGCGGCTCGGGGTGGGAGGTTTCGGGTGTTTTTTTTGCCAGCTCCCGGAGGTCTTCCAGCCTCGGGGTGCCTTCAGCAGCTGCGTCTCGCCGAGGGCGTTCCAGGGTTGTCTGGGTCGTCCCGAGCCGCCGCCGCAGGCACGAGACTTATGGCTCATGCTCGGCGACGACCGCTACAGGACTCGGGCAGGCCGCTCGGACTGCTGATACGAAATGGAGGCTCCATAGGTAGGGGGACCCTTGGCGGCGCGCACGAAGGGGTGGCGCGCTCCTTACGAGGCAGGGGCCTTCTTACAAGGGCCTGGGGTGGGGTGGGCTTGGGCAGTAGTGGTGGGGGCATACGGCACGGTTGGCAAGCGTCGGCGCCCTCGGTGAGTTGGCGCGGCACGTGCGGCTCGGCTGAAGGAGTCTTTCCTTTTCCAGCGCCCCGCAGTGCCCAGGAGCGCTGGTGGGACTCATTTCGCAGTGCCCCAAGGAGGAGCAAAAAGGCCTGTTCCAAGAAGACCTCTTAGGATTAAGTCTGGCCTGTCCCTCTACAGGAGGAAACTTCGAAAATAGCAAAGACATTGTGTGTATGGGGACGATTTTTCTACTACTTTTGATTCTACGTGAATATGTTTGGACCATTTTTCGTTCTCGTCCAACATCCCCCTGTAGGATCGGATGTGGACAGACCTCCTACCCTGACACGTCGATTAGTGAATTGTCCGTTTACGGTTCTCTAGAGGGCGCCGCGGCCGTCGTTTTCCAGGCCTGCGCCTGCCAGGTTTGGGCCCGAGGTCATCTTCACCAAACCACGTTTTGCTACAGGGGGGCCTGTCCGTCCCCCATAGGAGGACGTGCCCGAACTAACCTTCGAAGCCGGGGGGGCCTCCAAAAGCGGCCCCTGCCTTCTTCGAAGCTCCCCCCCCGCCTGCTGCGGGAGGCCGCCTCCCTCGCGCTGCGCTGCCCCCTCGTGCGCGCCGCCATGTCCACAGGGAGGGGCGCTCCCGCCCGAGGCCTCCTCGCGATCGACTGGGGGAGGAGGAAGTGGAGGAGGAGGAGGAGGAGGAGGAGGAGGAGGAGGAGGAGGAGGAGGAGAGGAGGATGAGGAGGAGGAGGAGGAGGGGAAGAAGGAGGAGGGTGAAGAGGAGGGGGAGGAGAAGAGAGGAGGGGGAGGAGGAGGAGAGGAGGAGGAGGAGGAGGATGAGAGGAGGAGACAGAAGGAGGAGGAGGAGGAGGAGGAGGAGGAGGAGGAGGAGGGAGGAGGAGGAGGAGGAGGAGGAGCGTCACGACGAAATCTGCGAATCTGAGGCCGTGTATCGTGTGGCTCGGCGAGCTCTGGGTTAGTGATTAGGTCCGCCACCACTCTCCCGCCCGAGGCCGAGGCCTCCTCGCTATCGGCTGGGGGAGGAGAAGTGAGGAGGAGGAGGAGGAGGAGGAGGAGGAGGGAGGAGGAGGAGGAGGAGGAGGAGGAGGAGAGGAGGAGGGGGAAGGGGAAGGGCAAGGGGGAGGAGGAGGAGGAGGAGGAGAGGAGGAGGAGTAGGAGGAGGAGGCGGAGGGAGGAGGAGGAGGAGGAGGAGGAGGAGGAGAGGAGGAGGAGGAGGAGGAGGAGGCGGAGGAGGAGGAGGAGGAGGAGGAGAGGAGGAGGAGGAGGAGGAGGAGGAGGAGGAGGAGGAGAGAGGAGAGGAGGAGAGGAGGAGGAGGAAGGGGAGGAGGGGGAGAGGAGGAGAGGTGGAGGAGGGAGGAGGAGGGGGAGAGGGGGAGGAGGGGGAGGAGGAGGAGGAGGAGGAGGAGACGAGGCTCCCGCTCGCGATGTCTCGGGATGGGGCTCCCGCCCGAGGGGCCCCACCGGGAGGGGGCTCCCGCCCGAGGCTTCCTCGCGATGCACCCGCAAGGACGAGGCTCCCGCTCGAGATGTCCGCCCGAGTCGGGCCGCAGGAGCCCAAACAGAACCAGTCGTTGCAGGATGCGGATGGCCCGTTCGGATCTCCAACATGGAGTGCGGGTGCCACAGGGGAGCAATAAGCGGCCGCCAGGATGATATCGCATCCTCGCGTGGAGAGGAATGGGGATGGGGGAACATAGGGGCAGAGATGGAGAGCGTTTACGGGCCCTGTCAGGGTATGGATCGTCCTATGGCGCCAGAGCCTCTTATGTGGATGCAGGGGCCACGCGCGAAACCGCGAGGCGGTCTGTTGCCCCGTACAGACTTGCGCCTATCCTTTGGCTCAAGCCGTTTTCGCAAGGCCAGGTTCCTGCAGAGCATCCCTCCCTGCCCCCACTCGGGCCGGACGAACGGGGATGATTTCGAGAGGGGCGGCTACGAAGTCTGCCGCGCGCAGCCGGTTTCGGCCCCGTCGCCGGGTGTTCTCCTCGATGCGCGAGCGCTTGGGCGCCGGGAGGTCGCCGGGGAAGGCGGCCGCGTGAGCCGAGTCGCCGACCCCCCAGGCATCCGACGCCGTGCTTTTCCACAACGTGGATCGAGTAGACGCCAGTGGGAGTGACCTTTCGCCGGAGTGACCTCTGGCGACCAGGCGCAGATGGACCCTCAGAGGGCTGAACACGAAGCGGCAGCAGGGGCTTGCGCGCCCAGGTCTGGCCCCCCCGCGGCCCCCCAAGACGCCGCACACCGGAGGTCACGCTTGCCCAGGGTCGCTCTTGCGTGTAGCCGCGTGGGCCCCGAGAGGGCGGGGTCCCTTCCCCGGGGCCGGCTGTTGACCCGATTCGTTTTTGGCGGCCCCCCGTTGGCCCCAGCAATGGCCCCTGGAGGCCAAAGGTGTCCCCAAACCTCCTGTCGTGTGTTCCTCCATCTCGCGAGGATGGCAGGGCCTTGCTTTGCATCTTCCTGGGGCCTTTCCTGCCCTGTGGGTCGCAGTGTTCTCTTGTACTCCGACGTGGGTTCGACGCGGAAGTGGCGTGGTTTCGACGTGGGTTCGACACGGATTCGACACGGACTTGACGCGTTCGACATGGATGCGACACGGATGGCTGGCGCGATGGGACAGGCGAGGTCCCCCGAAGGCGCAACACAGTTATCCCCCGCGGCTCGCCCGCCCCGGCACCTCGCGAAGGACCAGCGTGGCCGACCGCCCGCCCACCATCCAGGGACAATAATGAGGGGGGGATGGGCTCGGGGGGGATGCATCGACCTCCAA